AAAAAAAAAAAAAAAAAAAAAAAAAAAAAAAAAAAAAAAAAAAAATACTGGTTGTGTATACAATATTATACAGTGCTCACTGCTCAGGTGACGGCACGCGACCTGCTTGGAGAGTGCTATCTCACACACTGCGCTTATAGGGCAGGTGTGCTCCGAGTAAATAGGTAATGGAAGGTTAGGGAAAATTTTACAGAATAATATCAGTTTGATTCGTCACAATTAAAGTACCTTTAGTTCGTAATTCTAAAGGCGATGTCTTTTCGCTGTGCGTGTTTGTAGTCAGTAAGGATCTGATGCTCCGTCTTTGCAGGGAAGACACACCCGATGACTTTCCCAAAAAAGGGGGAATAAGACTAGAGATAACGACCACACGTCATCCTTGTTTGCAGATTACTAACCGTTTTTTACAATTATTGTTCCCTTTATTTATTTTAAAAAAAAATTTAAATACTTTTAAATATTTCATTATATGTAAAAAAAAAAACATTTAAAAATATAAAAAGCACCGGTAACGGGAGAAATCCAAGCTACCGGTGGTCAGGGCTCCAGAGAAAGGAATTTCCGGACAATACGCGCCGTGTCCAGAAGTACTGCTTTCTGCATCAGGCAATTATTGTTATTATTATTAACAGTTAAATCTCCGAACCCACTTAATCCATGTCGAACAAGCCAGGAGGTGCACATAAATACAGCACTAGTGTTATCGACTGCTCTCACAAGGTCAACGACCTACTTCCAGTGAAATTACTACAAACTAGATAATGTCTAGTAAGCTATCTAATGTACTAAACTAATCCATACTAATATTATAGATGCGAAAGTGTGTGTTTGTTTATTTGTCTGTTCTTCACGACAAAACTGAGCGATGAATTGACATGTTTTTTTCAGTGAAGATAGTTGAATGGACGGAGAGTGATAAAGGCTATTTTTGTCTTTTTCTTAAAATGGGCGGAGGAAGTTTGTATCGAGCATTCCGCAATTTTCAAGGTAGAAAGCTTAAAATTGGTAACAAAATGTGACTAACAAAAAGAAGTCGTGCATCTTTTTATTTTTATACATCTGCCTCCAGTCCCTTAAAAAAGCGCGTACGAAGCCGTTAGCAGAAGCTAGTTTATTATACTCAGAAAAGCAATGAAGCACTGGGAGCTTCTGTGTCGATTTGTGGGACTTTCTCTGCGAAGTGGTCGGTGTCGAAGTGATTGGCTCGCGACGAAGTGCGTGTCCGACACGATTAGCCTCACCCACCTCAAGTACCGCAGTGGTCAGATAAATCAAACTGTACTCAACTACAAACACGAGCTGTTTGTCATTGCGTTTGACGATCTTTTGTCTTCAATTACTTGCAACAATTGTGGGTTTATAGCTTGAATGCGCATCATCTTTATTCGTATTTAGGTACACTAACCTCTTGTAGCGTTTTAGGAACCTTTAATCGAAGATAGGTGACTTTGACGACGTTTTGGAGGAGGAGACGGCATCCCAGTCCCCCTCGCTCCGCATCATGGCCTGCATTAGAGCCGGACGCGTGAAGTCGCCGATCGCGTCCCTGAGGACACCTCGGTACCCAGCCCACACAAAGCATTCCCCTATTGTGTGTTCCACCGTGTCCTCAGGGCAGTCCTCGCAGTGATGACACCCGGGCGTTTCTTTCCGCCTTATCAGACACAGGTATCTTATGGAGCTCCCATGTCCAGTGAGGACCTGCGTTAGGTGGTAGGTAAGGACGCCGTAGCATCTCTCAAGCCTCTCCTCAAAGAGGGGACTTACCGCTGCAATGGCAGCGAGCCCAGTACTATTAGAGATGGAGAGGCGATTGATGATGAAATACTAACACATCTACCAAAATTGCTTAAAACAGTTTCGCAATTTCTTCCTTTTAAGGTCTAATCAGCAATTTAGTTAAACACAATTAATAAGACGACTAATGCTTGCGCACACAGCGTTATATTTGGCAATAATCTGGTCATTCTATCATAATATTGTGGGATTATACAATAAGCCGATTACAACCGGCGCGCCTCAGTCACGCGGATTATAAAACAACTGCACATCAACGTACACCATTCTCTTAAACAGATACAAACGACTATGTATTTTATAAAGCAAGAAATAAAGTTGAAGATCTGTTGAAGTATATCTGACAGATTGCATTGATCCGATTGATTCAATGACATGATCCGTGTCACATAAATGTTCACGCTTTATATATAAGTCGCTCGTTGTCTGCGCGTTTAATTCAATCAGACAATATATTATGGAAGGAAACCATTTTACTAAATTGATGATTATTTTAAAATATTAATGTTGTATGAGATCATTATTCCATCTATATTTTAGTCCTTAGGTACTTGTCTTAAGAAAAACAATTGATATAATATATTTATGCCCATTTTCACCTATCACCCCGAAACTATCACATAATTATGGGTCATTCAGCTTGACGTTGCACTTACATTTACGCCTTGCTTGCACTGTTAGGTGTAGCCTACAGGTTCTTGAAAACTAAAATGACATTAAATGCCACCTATCTTAGCTATAAGGTAGCTTAGCATTAAGACAATTGAATGTCGTGGTGGCTCGGAGGTTTAAGACGCCCGCTTCTCATGCATGAGGGTGCGGGTTCGAAACCTACATACCATCGGCAAGTACCAATGTGACTTTTTCCGAGTTACATGTACTTTCTAAGATTATCTAGACACCACTGACAAACAGTGAAGGAAAACATCATGAGGAAATCTGTGCAGTTTGTAATCGCCAACCCACATTGAGCAAGCGTGGTGATTAATGCTCAAACCTTCTCCATGTGAGAAGAGGCATTGCTCAGCAGTGATCATTTATATGCTGTTGATGATGATGATATCTTAGCTTAGGGATTCATTAAAATTCAGGAGACGTTGGAGATGACAGGAGCGGGTACTGTGCCTGTTTACACACCAATCTGTCAAACAGCAATTGTTTTACAATTTATTTCTTGTACACCAATCTTTCAAAGGATAATAAACCTTTATAACTTTGCAACAAAGTCGAAAAACGTCTGAAAGAATTACGTCAATTGAGGATAACATGACGTGCTGTACAAACGAGCACAGATGTCGCGATTGGAAGATTTGTAAGATGTCTACAGAATAACAACAATCTGTGGACTCTCATTAGTGGTCTACAGTACACGGGCTGCCGGCACAGCTGGGACATTAAGATATATATCAGAATGTATTGTGTGCAATGTTGTAGCTCGTCATGTTTTGGGACCCGTTGGTAGTTGGTGTCGGACAAATTTATTTCATTATTGTATTTACTTGGTAGGTACTTACTGTAGTGATGACTCGGTCTGAAGAAGGACCTGGAATCAAACATATTAAGTAAGTAATTTGCATAGGCATCATATATTGCTTCGAAACTACTGAATTGACTGGTAAAATTTTTAATACCTATTTAATTTTATCGTTGTACTAGCTATTTCCGCGCGTTTTCACCCATTCTGCTCGGCTCCTATTGGTCGTAGTGTGATGTTTTATAGCCTATAGCCTTCCTCAATAAATGGACTATTTAATACAAATATAATTTTTCAAATCGCAGCAGTACATAGTTCTTGAGGTTCAAACAAACAAACTCTTCAGCTTATATAATAGTAATAAATAATAAAATCCCGATATTGCCTAATATGAGTATTTTTATATACATATAATGGGCCGTCGTTTGGGCAATTTATCATCACCAAGTTATAAGGAGGTCGGGGACTTATTTGACTAGAACTCCTATAAACTAGTAAATTATATAGTACTAGCGACCCGCCCCGGCTTCGCACGGGTGTAATATGCATGTAAAAAAAAAACAAACCTTCCTTAAGAATCACTCTATCTATTAAAAAAAACCGCATCAAAATCCGTTGCGTAGTTTTAAAGATCTAAGCATACATACGGACATACAGCGAAAGCGACTTTGTTTTATACTATGTATTGATGAACGGAATACGGAACCAGTGTGTCGGTAGGTAGGTATTCTTGTTGCGCTATCATTATCATTATTCTAGGATTTTTGACCAACTCGAGGTCACCCTCCTGTTCCACTAAAACCCACTATTTCCTTGAATAGGTAACGAGACAAAATACGTTTAATAACTCGTACAATTCTGAGTTTTATCTTCTTTGATCCAACTTTGCAATGCTCAGACAAATTGTAATTGAAGAATAACTTTGAATATTTGACAATTCTTCCATACGTCTAATGTCAATTATATTCTACAGTTAAGTGTTAACAGATGTTTTCATAATAATTATCGTGAGACATACTAAACTAACTAAAATCGCGGGTTACTCACTTGGAAGAAACCCTCTGCGGTTCGAAACTAGTAAAGCTTTTCTCAGTATATTGACGCGAGTAAAACGCGATTTCTCGTTATTAACAGATGATTGACTGCCTCGTTGGCCGAGTGGTCGCAAGTGCGACGGCAAGGGGTCTCGGGTTCGATTCCCGGGCCGGGTAAACTATTACTGGGTTTTTAAAAATCTCAGTAGTAGCACGAAGTCTGGAAATGTGCCCGGTATAATATGGCAATAGGCTCACCCCCTATTACATAGGACTCATAACATAAATAGTGAAAAGTGGGTGTTACATTGTTTGTTTAAGCTTCGGAACATGTTTGTAATACAATACTCATTGTGTATCAACATTATGACCTGAGCAGTGTAACAGGTGGCCGACTTATTGCCATTTCCATTCAGAATTATTAAGAACTAACTTTTGTTCGCGGTTCCGATCGCGCTCTTTTATTTTTTTTGGTTTCAGATTCACAAAAAGAATAATGGATTATTTTTTTTATTAGTTACACATAGCAAACATACCATATTTAAGCTTTCTACCTTGAAAATTGCGGAATGCTCGATGCAAATTTCCATCACCCATTTTATGGAAGGAATGTTTGGGCTAGAAAGAGACAAAAAGTAACCCATGTGACTCTCCATTCTTTCAACTATCTCCATTTAAAAATCACGTTAATTCGTCACTTTGTTTTTTTTTTACACTTTATAGGTCGACGTTTGACCACCATCTCGCCTGATGGTAAGCGATGATGTGGCCGACGATGGAGCACGCCTACCCATGAGCAACCTGTTCACTCGGGACTTGAGGACACCCAAGTTATATTTGTTGGGAAACACAGACTCTGGCAAGGAATTCCATTCCTTAGCGGTTCGCATGAGGAAGCTTGACGCGAAACGCTTCGTGCGAATGGGTGGAATGTTTTGCGGTGAAAAACCGCCATACAGGATTTGCACATAGAACAATATTATAATGATGTTTTTATAATAACTATCGTGAGACATACTAAATTAAGTAAAATCGCGGGTTACTTACGTGAATATACTGAGAAAAGCTCTACTAGTTTCGAACCACAGAGGGGTTCTTCCTCACGTGAGGAAGAACCCCTCAAGTGACAAGTGAGTTCACGTGAGTAACCCGCGTTTTTACTTAATATTATAATGATGTTTGCTGAAACCAAATCAAAAATCTTGGTCCACCTAACAAATGACACCAACCCGACCTCGATACTTTAAACATCATATTGACATTAGCTAATACTTCCCCAAATACAGATATAATTGGCGTCCACTCGAATATATCATAAAATGTTTAACCTAATTACCGAAACCGTTCCGTCCGTCTGTCCATATTGTTATAATTTAAATGTAAATTAATTAGTGTCGGTGGGCGCTGCTTGTGGAACTGTTATCATCAATCATAATAACGTATTAGGAGCCGAACAGAGTGGGGGCGAGCTACCCACGCGCATGACCCTCAGTGGTGAATGCTTATTGGATGAGACATTATTACACATTATGGTATATCGGCCAATGAACGGCGCAGAAGCTGTGTGAGAAGAAAATTGAGGGAAATTTTAATAAAGTTTTTAGTGGATGCGCAACGCATCAGACACTAGCCGGTAGACCGCCCACAATGCTCATGAGGAAGGGTCCCACTGCAACTCGAAACTAGTAGAGTTTTAGGATATTTCAGTACAGTTTTTTTAACGTTGCCCCACACTAGGATTTTTCTCCTGAGTCGTAGGTGCGTTTACAAACATACAAGTCCATATACACATGACAACCAGACCAGGAACCACAATCTGTGGATCACACAGAGAGTTGTTATTCCGTGCGGGAATTGAACCCGCGACACGTTGTGCGGCAGCCAGTTGCCCAGCCACCGCACCAATCGTACAGTATAAAGTTATTATTAAAACTCAAACGTTGTTGTGACAATTTGACGCTATTGTAACTGTTGAAATTTGTTCATACAAAAGTAGTCTCTAAACATTGTAAATAAGGTCTATAATGTAGTTAGTGAAGAGCGGTCACCGGTGACCGCTTGTGGATAATTGGATATACGGGTTATGAATATTGAACTATATAGAGGTTATTTTCATATTGTTTAATGAAATCTTGAAGTAGGTACTGGAACAATGAATGTAAAGCAGTAATAATTACATTTTACTGCCAAACGAGCCAGTAATGAACACTAAAACTATTGTCGTTCGAGAAAACTGTAATGTCCTAAAATAGGTACCTATACATACGTAGACTATAGTTAGTAAAGCTATTTACTAGTTTCGAATGATATAGATTTCTATGAAGAAGACTGGGCAAGAAACTCCATAGAACTCCTTTGTAAACAGTTTCATGATTGAACATTGGCTTTTTTTTTTAAGGGGGAAAAATAATGGAATGGCTGCTCCCGCTCTGTGTAAGGCGGGAGGGAGTGTAGGTCAGATTCTTACTGACAAAAAACCACCCCGTTCCTTCTCCTGCACGTCGAGCCGGAGCCCCGGTTACCCGTTAGGTTCTCCGCGACGTACATTGGACAATTGCACGAACTGCCGCCACGAACGAAATGGAACGAAATGAACGAAAGTGAGGTTACTGGAGGCCCAATTACCCTCACCTTCCCCTTAAAAAAAAAATACCCTCCCTTCCCCAATCTCCCCAATCCCTGAATTCCCAACGATCGTCAAACTCATAATCCCCAAAAGATCGGTAACGCATTTGTAACGCCTCTGGTGTTCCAGATGTCCATGGGCGACGCCGATTGCTTACCATCAGGTGATCCGTCTGCTCGTTTACTGGCTGATGGCATAAAAAAAAATATTGTTTAAACCTTAGTAATTACTAATTTTATATCAATTAGTATTATTACTTTCGTGAGACATACTAAATTAATGATTGGTTTGTGAGCCCCTTGTGTGGCTCGAAACTAGTCGAGTTCCTCGTCAAACGGTTACGTACGTGAGAAAGTCGAAAACTATTTATTTTTAATATTTTTTTATTTAGGAACATTTAACAATATGTTACACCAGATCCATTGTAACTTACTGGAAGCAATTATGACTTAATTACACTGTAACTAATGAATAAACTAATTTAGCCTCTGTCGACATTGGTTTGGCTAAGATAGTATTAAATACTCTTATATCTAACTTATTCATACTCAATACATAACATCACGCCTTTTATCGGTTAGGCAGAGGTGCACATTATGCCACTGTACAATCTAACACCCAGTTTTCACTATTTATGTTGGAGGGGATGAGCATATTGCCATATACCGGGCACAGTTACAGACTCCGTGCTACTACTGAGACTTTTAAAAACTCGGAATTCTTTCTCTCGGAATCATTCCCGACATACTCCACTAACTGATGGTGGACATCCTCGATTTTATTACGACAAACTGGACAAAACGGAGAATCCACCTTTTTCATAAGGAAATCCAAAGCCGAAAACTACAATTAACAAATATAAATTGTATAGCAGAAATAAAAGAAAAAGTTATGCAAACATCAATATTTTTCCACCGACCCTGTAGACACGCAGCCATCTTTTCAATCTCACACCCACATACACTCACACACGCACACAAACACATAAAACATATAAATTAATTAAATAGCAATCAAGCTGTGACTGTCGTAAACTTGATCATTGCAAGCATCGGACACTGTCTGCTTACATTTGGTAACTCTTACCTATTTGGAGTTGTTTTACTGCCAATTAGAAGGAACTGTGCGACTGTGTGCCACAGTATGGAGACGTGCAGTATATCAATCGAATATAAAAGTGTATTGGAAGCTGATGGAAAATATATAGCTTATAACTTCTGTTTTACAATACTGTGGGTGAATACCGTAAATAATGCGCCATAAATTGATCACATGGTAATGAAACCCCAACAATTTTTACCCAATTAACAATCTTCAAACGCGATTTGGTTGAGTAGTTCCAGCGAATCATGGTCAAGTACTGTAAGTATGATTTCGTGGTGTCGCGTCTGATTTACTTTAAAGCTAAC